CACAGGCCCACTTCTTGAGCTTGTCCAGGACCTTCTGGGTGGCATCCCATTCCTCAGGCATGTCAACTGCACCACTCAACTTGGTGTTGTCCGTAGACTTGCTGAGCGTGAACTTGATCCCACTGTCTATGTCATTAATGAAGATACTAAACAGTACTGGTCCCAATACAGACCCCTGAGGGACACCACTTGTCACTGATCTCCATCTGGACATGGAGTCATTGACCACTACCCTCTGGATGTGACCGATCCAACCAATTCCTTATCCACTGAACAGTCCATCAAATCCGTATCTCTCCAGTCTAGAGAGAAGGATGTTGTGGGGGACCATGACAAAGGCCTTACAGAAGTCCAGATAGATGACATCCATAGCTTTTCTCTGTCCACTGATGTAGTCACTCCATCATAGAAGGCCACTAGGTTGGTCAGGCAGGACTTGCCCTTGGTGAAGCCATGCTGGCTGTCTCAAATCACCTCCCAGTGCATGTCCTGTGGTAGCAGCAGGGTTTCTGAGAGCAGAACCTGTAAGCAGCGACTCAGGGGCTTCTCCTGAGAATGTTTTACAGCTTCGTAAGAGGCAAAATTGCATCACTGACATAGTGCGCTGGATTGTGGTAAAAGCTTTGCTGCTACAGCCCTGCTGCTGCTCTTACTGCAATGAAGTCAGAAGCACTGAGACATTTAGTCAGGCTTATTTCATTAATTCATCAGTGGCTTAATGAGCATGTATGATAGGTTTTATGGCTGTTTTCTGGGTTTTTTTTATAGAAGAAACTTGTATGTAAGCCAAACTGTTTTTCATTGCAGAGAGGTAGATTTTACTGTAGCTGTATTTTGATTTTGAAATTGATTTTAAATTGATTTACATAACCTTTGTGTTCTGTTTTGTGTGAAACAGCAAGGTCTGTTTTGTGTGAAATAACACTTTTATGCACTGTTTTGCTTCTGGTTTTCACTTAAATGTTTGGCTTTCTGCTTTGTATATGATTTAATTTGTTAGTTCATTATTTTCAGGGTGTTAATAAGTTACTGTTGAGAGTAAGCCCACAGTGCATTTGAGGATTAGTGTAATTTCTTTTTGCTTGCAACTGACTTAATACTATTTGTGAACATCTTATTAGAAGTATACACTGGATAAAGTTAGTTTATCTGAAATTGTTTGAAGTTCTGCAAATATTTGGTATTTGCAAAATGTATTTTTAGGGAAACAGTTCTAGAAATTCCTATTATACAGGTCCTAAAAACAGAAAAAATATCATGCTTTCATTCTCGTGTGTGTTTGGTTATGTGTACTTCTGGGTTTTGTTCCTGATTATTTCTATTTGTTGTATCCCTTTATCTCCTGTGACTGATTCTGTTCTTAGTACTGTGCAGCACTGTTGTTCCACCCCAGTGATTCGGCTCAGAAATACTGATGCATCTCTCTGATCAGTTCTGCTTGTTCAGGGTACTTGGACAACTTTTAGAAGCTTTTTAGAAGTGTCCTGCACTAGGTTTTCTTATCACAGAATAACACCTACTAGTTAATTTGTTCTAGTTTCACTGCAATCCAGAATTTTAGCCTTGTATTCTTAGGTGATGGGGGCAGTGTCAGTCCATTCTGAACCTCGAGCTTAACTGTAGTATGGTACAAGAGTTCTGCTGAATGGGTGGTGGCCTTCCTTGTTTGCTGGGACTCTGTGTGTGATCAGAATGCTCTTTCTCTTTCTGCAGAAGTACACTACTAGTATGGATTTTGTACGGAAATTTGAACGACAGTGTGGCTCCCAGGCCAGCGTGAAACGGTTAAGATCTCATCCCTCTTACCACAGCTTTAACAACAAATGGAATTTGCCTGTATATTTTCAAATAAGGTTAGTGTGTGTTTTTTTGTTCACTCTTTCAAAAGTAGAGTTCAGTCACAGCAAGATGATCTGGCTTAGGGTCAGATCTCCTCATTGTTCAAAGTTTCACTTGCCAACAAATCATAGTAGAAGTCAAACTAAGAATTTAATTACTAAGTCAAGTAACTGTTTAATATATCTTTCACCAATTTAGCAAAATCACAGCCAGCTACTCTTCAATATGTACTGTGGTGTTGTTACACTGAATTTGATATACTACTCATAAGACTTTCAGGAACAGATCTAGATAAGTCTTGAAATCTTGTTTCACATTCTTTTTCTCCAGTGTTCCTGGAACTAAACTTTATGTTGAAGGATGCTACTTGTGCAAATCCAGAGGAATACTTACTATGAGGGAAGAAGTTTTTCTTCTTAGAAATACAGAATTAAAGGACTTGACAACTTGTAGCTTTTCCAGATCTAGCCATGTTTCTGACATCCTTTTTGTCTCACAGGATGTACTCTGTAAAGTGCTGGGTCTTGTAGCATTGCCTTCCCAAAGATTGCCCTACTATTCCCTTTTCCTGAGGAGCTAAGTAATAAGTTTTAGCTTACTTTTCCAGGAGGTCGGATGTACCTGTAGTATGACCTTTTACAGATCTTGCAGCTAGAAGACAGCAGAGACACCCAAGAAAGCACCATTTTAATTCTAGTAATCCTAGAATCTTAATGAACAAAATAGAATGTAAAACCATATTTTTAGAAAGTGTAGTCTACACATCTGATTTTAGGGCTGGATAGCAAGCCTCCAGGCAAGAAAGAGAACCATTGATGAAGTCTGCTATGACCTAAGTGCGCTGTGTGTGATCGCTCTTGATCCAAAACCTTCTGAGAGTCTCTTAAAAAAAAAAAAAACAAACAAAAACGGCGGGGTGTGTGTAGAATTCCCAAAAGAGAGGGGAGATAAATTGATATTTATTTTTAACCTGGATCACTTTAATGGCCTTTTTTATTGCATGGTTCTATAACTGGCAATAATAGTACAACCATAGCCACATTTATACAGTTTCTTTAATCCAGGATAAATCTGCGTTGCTCCTGAAAAATTCCATCCAGGGATCTTATGAGTGCTGGAGCTAATATAAGACAAGTGACAGGAGCATGGGGCTGGGAGCAGGGTGTTAGTGTTTTGGTGGTTCACTGTGTTTTGTAAAATGGTAGCCCCAGCCTCTGACATCCTGGTTTGGTTTTTTGCTTGTACATCTGTTTCTGCAGCTGTGTAGTGAACTGATATGAGGATCTGTTACCCTGGGCAAAAAAAAAAAGGCTGACATTCAACTCCAATTTCCCCAAAGCACTTAACTGTACAAATACTCGTGCTGGCCCAAGGGAAAGGGCAGGAGTACTCACTACAGTAGCAGTGCTGAGTGCACAGACTAAAAGTGTCCATGGAACTGTAGCCATTATGAACCTTTTAACAGATGTATATCATTAATAGGCCAGTGAGTCTGCCCCTTTTGTTTGCATGTGCAACTTTTCTAATAACTGACCACTTGATCAAACATTGATACTCTTGCTAATAAAATTGAAATGGAGCTTCAGCATATTCTTTCTGTTCAAAAATGTTCTTTCCTATTAGGTTATTTTGAGCTCTGACTGATTAAAAAAACTTTTTAAAAAATCATTTTCCTTTAGTCCAAGATTACTGTAAATCTAAATAGTGCACTATTTCGATAAATGGTTGGATAACAGCAGATGGTTCATCTTTCACCATATTATTCCTATATATTGGAATAATCTGATAACTTTCGGAAGTGCCCATGAATTCTTCAGTGCACGACTGTAAAAATAATGCAACATATTCATTATATATATGAGAAGCTTTTTCTTTGATGTATGTTAATATCCTTAAGTCATACAGGATTTTTATTGAAGTATTATCTCACACTATGGCATTTATAGTTAAGATTGTGGGGTTTTTTTTTTTCTTTTTTTCAATTACAGAAATTACCCAGAACAATCAGCCCTCACTAAAGCCTTTACAAATGATCCTTTGAGGAACAGATAGATGTACAGGCATTTTTTCTGTAGCAGTGCTGGCATAAACAGCCCCAGTAACTCTTTCCACAATTATGTCAGTACAACTGATTGTGGAACTGTAGTGAACCCCACATTGGGGAAATTTTTTTCCTATGTAAGAAGCATTCAGCAAAAATTATGTCATTGTTAAAAATCTGATTCCATTCTCTAATCCTTTTCACTGTAAGACTTAAAGACACTGCTTTGTCAGTAGAAGTGGTGCATAGGCAGGAGTGAGGTTTCGAAGCCATTTCACAGATATTTCTAAAATACGTTTAGTTGCTAAACATGCATCTAGACCATTAGGAGTTTGAACAAGAAAAGCTAGGTGAGCCCCTGTTCTGATTTGGAAATGACAGTTCAGAGGCTTTAAGGGGAGTCCTACAGGTTCGTAATCAGTAAGTTTGATAGAAAGGCTTACAGAATTACTATGGTGCCGTAAAAGCAGGGGAAACCAATGACAACAGATCTTTCTGTAGGGGAGCTTAAAATGATAGCTTTGTTTCAGCATTTAGAGGAAAAACCTGGTTAAAGAAGAATTTTGTGCAGCTCTTGCTTGACAATTTTTAGATGAGGGAAATGTTATGTTGTTTATCCAATATGCTTTAAATATGAGAGGTTTTAATATTAACTTTGCTGTTATACCTAAAAAATTGGGGAGGCGGGATTTTTTTTGCTTTTTTGAAGGGTGAATTTTTAAAAAAAGGGGGTCAAGGCATCCTGTGAGGAACTATTGATTTCTATCAGGTACAGAATTGTTTGCAGAACCTTATGCCACTGTTCATTAACAAACATGTAGAAAGCTGAAGGCTCCAGTGTCACATGACATATCTGAAGGTCAGCTAAAGCAAGTATGAGACAATGTGTTCACTTTTAGTTTAAAAACAGTAACAAATTTCACTCCTCAAAAAAGCTGAGGACTTGACACTCTGTGAGCTATCATTTTGATAATGTTTGCAACCATGACTTTAATAATTTCCCAAAGTATAAGTTTTGTATCTGCCCGTACAATGTCAAAGGTTCTCTTTCAAGTGTTTGAATGTTGGTCTGGTTTATATCCCAATTTATGTTCGGCAAAAATAACCCCACGTTTAAAATCTGTCTATGTGCATTGATAGCACATTGAAATAATATTGAAGTAAACATTGAAAAAATGTTTAGGCATTTAAGCAATTGTTGAATTGTAATATTAAAAACTTTTCTGTCTTTCAGATTCAGAGAAATAGCAGGGGCCTTAGAAGAAGCACTTTCAGATACACTAGAGGAAGCACCAGGTAAACTTTTATTGCAAGAAATAATTTCTCTATTGTGAAGGAATCAGTGGTATAAGTAGCAGTGGTTACTGTCTGTCTATTGAATATTTAGTAACATGCATCCTGCGGGTTCGCATGAGCTTTCTGTTTTCTGATGAACTGATTAAAGAGTATAATACATTTTTATGGAGAAGGCAATATGAGAGTACTGTTCAGTGATCACTTTACTTACTAAAAAACCCCTTTTGGCAGCAGCCATTAACATATTTGTGGAACTATCAGTGCAAGAAGGAACTAAATTGGCATTTGGCATCCTCTAAGTGACAACCAAAAGGCTATGCTGTGTTGTTGGGGCATATTTTTCTTAATTGTTCTAGGGCTATATAGAGGCGAAAATGACTATCTGTTGGCAGCATTTAGGCTTGCTATGGTTTATAGCAAGTGTTGGTGTCTGCTCCAAAAACATACATTGATTTATGAGCAGATGAGGAGGTATGCATGGGAAGGATTAGAGTGGAAGGGAAAACCTGGTATATTCATTAAAAGTATATTGCAATCAGAAAAACTTACTTCAGTTAACAGAGCAACATAAATATATGTGTGTGTGTATATACGCACACGTGCTCTCTGAAGAGAGCAGGATTAAAAAATCCTAATGGAGACGAAATGCATAAATCCTGCCACTTCAAGGCATTTGCCTGGAACTTGCAGACGCATTCCTTAGCTCTCTAATTGTATGCTATAAAATGTTAGTGCATGAACTGCTTTAAAAGTATTTGGTTTAAATATGGATATTCCTACTGTGTTTTAAATAAATATTTCTAGCAGATATCTCAGATGTAACTGTGACAGGAGCAGTAGTTTAGTGCTAAGGGAGTATCACTGTTACAGCTGGCAAGCATGTGTAATATAACTTCCTCATATGGCAGCCAAAAATTATCCTGGAAATGTTATCTCCTGAAGTGGATTATTTGGCCAAGCTGTTCCTGCCTTTGTTGCAGGGAAATTTGCATTTGTTGCTTTTGCCTGCACAGCTACAGCAAGACTTAGTGGAATTTGAAATCTAAAGCAGTGAGGAGCTAATATTTTAAGAGTTCGTTTCAGACAATGCTTAATAAATCCGCTTTGCTATCTTTGTGATTGTGTCTCTTTGGAAGACTTTTTTTTTTTTTTTTTTAAATCTCGGCTAATGAAGTTACACTGATGTTACATCTTTTAAAAATGTGCTTAGGAACTTGGTCTTTGTTGCCTGATTGTTTCTAGCTGGCAGCTCATACTGTCTTTTGGCCACTCACATGGTCTGGATGAGTCTTCTGAAGTGCTGGTCAGATCAAATGTTTTTACCATTATTAGCACACCGTCTGTGGAAACTTAGTCTGCAAATTTTGGCACGCTACTCTGTGTTCATTGGTGAGGTAAGAGAACAGCATGCTTATGGGTTTGGTGGTTGGGTATGTCCATCAATAAGAGACCTTTTGAAACAAAGTATGTGACATCTTTTTAAGCGCTTTTTTCCTGAACTTAGCATTCTGTAACAAGAACACTTTCAACCAGTTCATGAGTTTGTTTTATAAAAAGTATCACTGCAAATTATGTTATTAACCACAAATATCAGTGCTGCTGCAGTATTGCTGTCTGATGGTTGCCAAGGCTGTACTTCCATGTACGCTTAAGGCTGCCTCTGCCACTGAAAGAAGTAGCCACAATCTTTTGGTTTTCTTGTTTGTGTAAGCGTTTACTTGTTGATACAGTGAACGAGGTTATGAAACCAAGCCAGGTGAAAACTAACCCTGCAAAAAAAAAAGGGGGAAGTTAATCCTGATCAGTTGCTCAGTTTTGAGACTGTAAAACTGGAAGCTTCATGGGCGATTGACTCAACATTAATTATTCCCTGCTTCTGAGCAGGAGAGGTTGTACTTTGCTCTTCTACTCCCTGCTCCCAGCCATAGAAGTTTCGCCCTGTTTCTTGTGTCATAGAAAGACAGCATGATAGAATAATTGGGATTTAAAGGGACTTCTGGAGGTCATTTGGTCCCAATTCCTACTCAAAACAGGGCCAGCTTAGATAAGGTTGCGCAGAGCCTTTTCAAGTTGAATTTTGAGTATATCCAAAGATGGTGATTTCACGCCTCTCTGGGAACCCTGGTCCAATGACTGACCACTTTTTCTCATATTTGATCAGAATTTCCCTTGCATGTCCATTGACTCTTACTTTGTCGCTGTACCTCAAGGAAAAGTCTGATTCCATCTTCGCTATACTTGCCCCTTAGGTAGTTGAAGACAGCAGGAAGATCTCCCTTTATAATTTTCTTAAGTCTCACTGACTCAGTTCTCTTAGCTAAATTGGCTCATGATCAGTACTGATAAGTACCAGAGTTAAAACAGAATAGTTGAGTGAAGCACATGCCTGACAGCAGAGGGCTTGAAGAGGTGGGAGAAAGGGGTTTTTTGACAGCAGTGAGTGGTTGTGATTTTTTGTATTCCAGCATATGAAAATAAACTGTATTTCTGCAAAGCAGGTAATGATCAAATTTTTGGTCTTGCTCATTCCTCCAGTGCAGTAGTTCATTTGAACATCACACAGGTGAAAATTGCTGTAGGACTGGACTGCCCTCTACTATAGTGACAGATTTGCTCCAAATCATCCAACTCCTCAGTGCACCAAAAAATGTTTGAAAAAACTTTTTTTAACATAATTTAGGAATGCTAATATCCCTTGTAAGTGTGGCATTGTAATGCTAAGAATTTACAAATCCTTTATATACTGTTTCTGTTTGTCCAACTTTAACTGCCTTCACTATTGCTAGGGTTCATATCTCAATTTGATGTTTCAGGTTTCTGTAAGGCCCATTTCCAGTGAGAATATGAAGGAGGGCAAAAAATCTGTGCCAGTTGGTAGAAAGGAATCTTCTATAAGCCTCAACCCTAGTGAGGACCAAGGGAACGGATCTTCTCTAGAAAGTCAGCCATTGCCTTCTATATCTAGTACTCAGTTGATATATGTTGCTGCAGATCTGGACAAACTCCAGGATCAGGTTTGTGCTTGTTACTTTACTTACAAAAGAGTCTTCGTTGATCTACATGCCAGTATTGTTTGGCATCTTGTTAAGGACATTAAATAGTTTAAAATAATGTACCATAAAGCTATTTTTTTATTTTAAATGCTAAAACTGGAGTAGTCTGATGTAGAAAATATCACCTGAAATAAATGGTCTTCTCTGTGCTTATTTGGAGTGGCAGATTACAGAGAAACCACTTCAGGTATTTAAACACTTTTTATCAGTAGCTGCTGGACTTAACCCCTAAAATAATATGTTTCTGCTCATTTTTGGTGCAAAGTGTCACTGTGCCAGAGTCTTACCTTTGCTAGTAAAATCTCTGTGGCAGCTTGGAGTGTGGTGCAATATTCAGCTTTAGTATTATGTTCTCTTTTAGATGTTTATTGGTTTTAGTCTTTGAGGTTGAAAAAGGTTTTATCATCATGATTATACTTTATTAATGATCCAGAATCTTGAAAAGAGATGTATGGTATTAGTTTTCTACCAGTAGGGATGACTTCTGTGTATTTTTGGTCAATAAGGCTGAAATTCCTGTAATTTGTGAAGTTGTAAGTTGCATCTGGGTTGGTAATATTTTGTTAATTCTAAATGATTTCCTCTGAGGACAATAATAGGGTAGGGGATTTAGTGCATAGGCCTTAATTCTCATGAATATTGTATTCTTCTAGTACTGGTTTCCCATAAATGCAGTAAAAATATAGAAAAGATTGAAGGTGTCTTTTGGTGCACTTGAAACTTACAGAATGTAGAAGAAGTAATTAAAATATGTTTATAACACGACTGTATCTCTTTTGGTTTTTTTTTGTTCAGATTCCTGACATCTTAGAAGTGATTAAACCAAAACTTGAAATGATTGGCTTCAAGAACATATCTTGTATTGCAGGTAAAGCTGAGAGGCTGAATTCAGTCTCTTTGCCCTTTCTCCCAAACTTTTTTTTGGTTTCTGCCAACCAAACAAAATCAGCTTTTACACATAGTTTCATTATTTACAATGAAAAATTTGAAAATACTAACATTTTTATTACTTAATTAAGGTTGCTTTAGGTTTAAATTGTTAAATAGAAACTATCTGGAACAGACATGTTGAGTCTGGAAAACGTTTGATTAAAATTGAGTGAGTCTGAAGTGCTTTGGGTTTTGGGGGGGGCGGGGTTGTGGCTCTTTTTTTTTTTCTTTTTTTTTGGAAGGAACTTGTCATTGTCCAGTAATTAGTAGGATGCTTCTCCAGGGAATGGGGGACCTTAGACTGGAAGATTCATATCATATCTTTAAACTCCTACTTGTAAAGAAAATGGGGAAGAAGTAGGGAGAGGCTTTCCATTATCCAGTTGAAACTAAAATATTTTTCTAAAAAGATTTTTCTCTCTCTGACCTGATGAATCATGTAAGGAGGAGAGTTATGAAAGTTTCATAGTTAAATACCTTAACTTCAGAGGACAGAAGCAATTAAATATTTTAGCCTCTTTTTTTCTGTGGTGTTTTTTTTTTTTTAATCTGATCATTCTTTATGTGAAACGTGGAGTCTTAATTTTAATTTAGTAATTCAAGCCAGACATGTGGCTGGATGAATGAACTAGTCCCTGTCTTCAAGTATAGCCAGAAGTTCTGCGCTGTGAATTCCACTTAAATCTGTAAATCAGGATTATTGGTAGATGTCCAAGTCCATAAGAGAGGTAGGAGCTTGTGCACGTCCCCCACTCAGTAGATGGTCTGTCATCAATCACAACTTTGAGTTGAGCATGTTCCAGTCAATCCATAGGGAATTTAGGTACTGTGAGAAAGAATTTCACAACCACAGTTTCCTTGGTAGGTCGGAGCCTTTTGATTCAAGCCCCTTGATACATTGGTAATACTGAAAAAACTGTGAACCCAGAGAATGTTACTTTAGCCCTTTTTTCTTTCCTTCCCTTGTTACTGGTGATGTTTTATAAATGGCTGGTGTGTATTTATTTAGTAAGCATCCTGTATTTGACACCAGCAGCCACCTAGGATAGTGAGTGAGATTGGGATGATGGGGCGTTCACATAATTTATATTGTGATTGGGCAGGGTAGCTCAGTTTAAACTTTAGTATTTTTACTTCAATAGGAGCCTTGGAAGACTCAAAGACTGCTTTATCAGCCTGTGTGCCTACCTTGAATAACAGGATTATCCAGGACCTCAGTGAGTCCTCCTTCGCTTACCTGAAGAGTGCACTGGAAGTTCCAAGACTATATAGGAGAACCAATAAGGTCAGTGCTGGTTGCAGATGAAAAAAAAGAAAATCTCAGAAAGGCCTATGCTTAGAATGTTAACTGGGCAGTACATTTATGAGTCCTTCAGGCCTGTCCATATCTGCTTGACGGTCAAGAGCCCTATTAAATACCTTGAGATAATTTAATGATTTACTGTTTACCTCATTGCAAAGGAAAAAAAAATGGTATTTTCAAAATTTTACGTAGGGTAACAATGATGAGGGCACAGGCCTGAGATAGAAGGAAGGGCAAGGAGTAGAACTGTTGACATGCAAAAGAAAAAGGGTTAATGAGAATAAATGTGTTTCCCTCATGTCATGGCATATATCATAAGATGCAGTGCTCCTGAGAGGCAGACTTCTTTTGGGAGAACGACACTTCTGCCTGCTATGTCAAGAAACTTCTTCCCAGTGAGCTAACTGCTTGGATTTGATTCAAGAAGCCTCTTGCACAGAAGGAACAAGATGGGAATGGCTAAAAAGAGTAATTTGTTGAGAAACTAATAAAAAGTAATGGTGAAATACAGTACAAAACCGGTGTCTGATCTTGGCTTGTTCTACTACTGTGACTTGCCTTTGCCAATCTCTCTGCACAGTTGTGTTGGTAGTTAGCTTGGTATCATTCAGGCAATACAGAAAAATTAGAGTAACAGGAACCACAAACTTGCCTAATTTGAACACAGAAGGCAGGCTGAAATGTGCAAGGCCACAGTTCTTTCCCATTCACCCCTCTCCCCTTGTTCTCTCTTCCTACTTGTTTGTGGGGTATTTTTGGTTGGGGGTGGGGGGAGGGTTGCCTTGGCTCACCAAAATCAAAAGCACTTTCCTGGCTATCACGAAGAAACTGTGCTGCCACCAGCAATGCTGTACTTTTTCAATGGCTCAGTGGAAAAAATCAGAGCTGTTAAGTCTACTTCTTTCAAGGATATTAAATTTTTTTGGGGTGGTAAACATTTAGGGCAAGCCAGAAGAGAAATTATTCCTAAGGGAGTAGTTTATTACTTCAGTTTATTACTAGGGTTTCTCACTGTCTTAGTTTTAAGGACATACTTAATCAGAAATGGTATTTAAAAAGAAGAAACAACCTCAAGGCTAATAAATTCATCTATATAGTGACTAGATTGTTCTGTCTTTAGCAGAGAATATTTTTACTTAGAGTAGAACAAAGTATATAAGTCCAAGGAGGGTGAAACTGTGCACTGCTTAGCTCAGTTATCTGAAAGCAAACTCTGCACAGTGATTTAGTGGGCTGCCATCATCTCTCAGTTGTCCACAGGATGTTTAAGCAGATGGTGGGCTAACTGTGCCGAAACAAAGACACAGGACCTATCCACCTTCAGTTCAGTCAAGTTGCTAGCTTAAGCTCTATGCTCCATGAGTGTGACTGCACTGCTCTCTTGGCCATCAGTCTAACTGGCTTTATGTGATGTAAAGCCTCAGCTGATAAACAGGAGTGAGACGACTTGGGTAGAGAAAGTACGTTATTACAGTCATGTTAAGTTCTGGCAACTCTAATTTTACTGTGTTCTAATAGTTTGATTTTTCAGCAGAATTCAGAATTTGGCATGAGGATAGTCTTTGCAGGAATCAGATGTGCAAAGACTGTTGCTTGGCCAAGTTCTAAAATTTGGAACTCTAAGAGGTTAATGAAGTGTTTCAGGTGTCAGGGATTTTGTGTACCCTGGATATGTTCTGTTGCTTTGCAATGCATGAGGTTCACCCAAGCTATGTGTGAATCATCCCTGGAGAGATGAAGCATTCTGCCACCAAAACTAGCTGAGAAGAAGATAGTGAGGGCATATTAGTTATCCCAAAAGCATTCTTCTGGAAAATATACTGAGGGAGCAGGATGGTATGAGAACAGAAGGAGCAATGTCTTCAGTTTAGTGAAGTATAGTACGAAATAGTAGGTATTTTAACAAAGGTATTATAGGCTGTTGTGGACACTGAGCCTGCTCAGTCTCATTTCAGCTCTGAAATCAGCATGAGCAGAAAGTGCATTCAGGATCATGCCCTGATAATAGGAGTGGCATCTCTCAAAAAGCTTTGGTCATTTTGAACCGTGTTCTATATTATATCACATTGTATAACACTACTGAATTATTTTGTGATGGTGTCTTTCCTGTGTATGATGACCTCTTCACTGATATGTCGTGAATGGAGTATGTATCTATTTGCTGGTGTATGTATCTATTTGCTGTACAGGCTTAGCATTTTATATATGTGCTATAATTCGGTGTTGATGCTTTTAGTAAGTAAATTACTGGTTCTTTTTCCCCACCTTGTTTCTCTGTCATCTATCAGGAGGTGCCAACTAAAGCTTCACCTTATGTTGACAGTGCTCTTAAGCCCTTCTACCGACTGCAGAACGAATACAAGGATATATTGAAGCAGCCCATGATTCATCAGTGGTTGGAAGGTGCCCTCTCTGAAAGCACACAGAAGTAAGAGAACAATACAGAGCATTCTTTGCATTAATTAAAAATTCCAGTGTTCACTGAATTGGGCACAGGAAAAAACCAAAACACTATGAATTAACACAACTAAAGAAAACAAGAATATACCCTCTTTTGGCAGGGTATGTTTCTTCAGATTTATTCTGGTGTTGTGTATTCAGCAGATGAAAAGCAGGGCAGGGAATCCAGAGACCTGACTTCTGCTCAGATCTGTGCAAACCGTGGCGTTGTGGATAGGGCATTTGAAAAGTTGTTCAGCTCTAGTAATGCAACAGAGAACTAAAAACTTGCATTTTGTCTCAGAATTGATGTAAGACCTTAACCTCATGTTATTTTCAGTGAGCAATGGTTGAGTTTTCAAGAAACTTGAGTTCTATTTTCCTTTGACTTTTTTAATGTATGTAATGATTATCCAGCTTTAGTGGTTTAAAAAAAAAACCCCACACCTTCGGATTTTTTTAGCTCTTGAAGAGCTAGCTGTTCACAGTTTAATAAGGCAGTCATAAAGCAATGCTTTCTTTAATAGATCTGTTTCCTAGTTAGCATCTTGAAGACTTATTGAGCATGAATATCCATCTGCATTAAGTTCCTTAATGGATTAATGGATTTTGTTTCTGTCTGTTTGTCTAATTCATACTGCTGTGGGATGTTGCATTACACATGTAAACTGTGTAACATGAGAAAGCAATACTTGCTTTTATTTGGAAGTTCTGCCAGATAATTTCACTGGCAGAATCCCCCTACTTCTTGCATTATGGACAATGTATTCCTTGTGTAAGCTGTAATTTTATATATCTCTGTAATCTTGCTTCAGACTAAAGAGTCCCTTTAGCCTATTTTGATGTTTCCTCTTTCCATTTTATAGCTGTTGTTTGCTGTTTTTCTTTGTCCTTTCTGGTCATAGGTGGTATGATCAGAAGAGTCCATGCAGGTTAAAGTGTGATGCTGGTGACTTCTGTCTGTTCTTACATGGTTTTCCTAATAATTCATAGCATATTGTCTTGTCTGTTGACTGCTGCTGAGCATTGGATTGATGTTCTCTGAGAATTACCCACATAATACTGAGGCTTTAAATTGTAGTCAGAACGTGAGTTCTTTCCTGCCCTTCGCCTCCTTATCCCTCCCTGCTGCTCCACTTCTGGCACCTCTCAGGTACTTATTAATGCCCAATGCATCTGCAGGACTTTGCAGTCACTTTTTTGGTTATTCAGAATAAGCTTAAAATTATAAGACAGTTTTGACACTGAAATATTCACTACTGTCCTTAAAATTATTCCTAAGTGTTTTGGACAGGGCTAAGCATAGATTGGTCTGGATTCCCCTGGTCACTTCCATTTTACAAAAAACTGCCTATTCAAGCTTGGTGTCTCTTCTTTTAACCAGCTATTAGTCCATAAAAAGAAGCTTACTCTTAACCCATAGCAGTTCTGTTTGTTTAAGTAACATTGCTGAAGGACTCCAAAGGTTTCTGGAATGTCAAGTCACATGCTTGTAGAGCTAAAATATCTTAGAGTGAATTCTTGTCTGTCTGTCTACCCCTCTGTGATTCCTAAGCCTTGCTCTTAAAGCTTCAGTGAATCTGGTGACACCACACAAAGTAGCTATTCTGTAGTTCCTTGGATCCATCCAGAGCTTTTTTTCCCCCCAAAAGCAGTTTCTCACTTTCCGTGTCAGCATTACCATACCAACTTAAGTGCTAGGTTAAACACAGTGGTAGTGGTTAAATACAGGGGTAGGTTTGGCAGGTTCATTTGTTAATTCTTTAGATCTTTCTGTTGAATTCTGGTTTTGTGATTTGTTGTTACTGTTTTTATCACTTTGTTTTAAAATGTCTTATCCTAACCAAACAAGAGAAGAGACAAAGAATTTCTTAAATGGAGTAATCTTGTCGTTTCTTCATTGAGAATGCAAAGGCAAGTAATTAATTTAATTTCCTGCTGTGACAATATCTTCTTGCATTCAAATGAGAAAAACAGAAAAGAGCATAAATTCTCGTTAAAAATCACTAAGGACTAAACTTGCTAAATGGCAGGTGAACTTCTAAGTACAGCAGAAGTAGGAAGCCTTCACAAGTGAGTGGGACTGGGAAATACCAAGATATGAAAAGAGAGCATGGTTGACTTTTATTGGTATACTTTTACTTTTTGCAGAATGGTATCTTGAAACAGTTTCCATGGCACTGGCAAGCACTTTTCCTTTAGACATTCCTATCTAATTATTTCTTAAAAAAGCTTGCCTGCTTTCTGTGGCCTCCCTGTTTAAAAGTAAGCATCGGGAAGATTCTTTCAACTTTCTTAATTCTTACAGTAATAGTTTCATCACTGTCACAGAGAGGCTCTTTGGAAGTTACAGATTTTAGAAAATTATAGAACATAGCTCAATCTGGTCACTTCACTTACGGATCCTCTAATTTCCCATTGTTGTTCTATTTTCTCCTCTTAGCTATTCTTAACAACTTGCTCTCCTGGGCATCTGTTAGTTAATTTATATGATATTATGCCCTTCCCATTTAGGCATGGGATTTCATGAAGGCTTTTTGAAATTTTGTTGATTAGTTGATTTGTTTACCTCGTTTGATGCTATGCTATCTTTAGTGTGGATTGCAGTATGTGGGAAGCAATGTTTTATTCCATCTATACCATTTCTAACTTGGTATTAGTGTTCAGACTTTCCCTGCCAACTTCCTGAGAGTCCTCTTTAGATCAGTTTCTTCATTTTAGAAATAGGCACTTCTGACTAGTGTACACTTCCATGCTCTCATATACATGTATGCTTCTAGAACTTGTCTAAAACTCTGTATTTTTTTGTCTGTCAGGCTGTTATTCTTGTCCTGTTTGTAAACGGAAATTTACTTAGCGCTCTATTGGTTGTAAATAGAGGCTGATTCAGGCTGTTTGAAATTGAGCAGTTGCATTCCTTGGTCTCTATTGAGTTCAAACATCTTGAGCCGGTCAAAAATGTTGTGATGAGGAGGCAGCTTCAGCATCTTCAGATTGACCTCTAGAACTAATGATGGAAATACTGATTAATTGATAATGATGGAAACATAAGTAGCTTCCTCTCAAGGAAAACAATTCCTCTCAGTCTTGTTCAGCATTTTTCTCAGGGCCAGTGATGTACTGATGTGTATGAAGTAGGCTTTTCTGTAAAAGTGTAATTTTCTTCTTTCTCATTAATCTTCCTTAATTTAGGTATTATGAAACTGTATCTGATGTGCTAAGTTCTGTTAAGAAAATGGAAGAGAGCCTAAAAAGGTTGAAGCAAGCCAGAAGAACTGCAACTTCAAACCCTGTTGGTACAAATGGGGGCATGAGTGATGACAACAAAATCCGACTGCAGCTGGCCCTAGACGTTGAGTATTTTGGAGAACAAGTAAGTTATGAGAAACAAGTTCGTTTACTCTTATTACTGGTTTTGGAAGGGAGTGAGATAGAGGAGGAAAGGGAAGCTTGACTTAGTTTTTTGGTCTTGAAAGCTTTGTTGGTGTGGTTTTGGTTTTGGGGGTTTTTGCTTTGTTTTTTCACAACTGTATAATGGAGGTGACTTGAGACCTTGGTGATTGTAGATACCACTTGAGCAATGCATGCTTTCCTGTCCTTTCTTATATGAATGCAAAGCTTGTATTTCTTACTATTCAAAATTCAAGTACTGCTTAGTGCTTAGAAGCACAAAGAAGAAACACTGTGTGGACAGATCAGAGGGCAGGGACCTTCCTTAGCTCTGATGGAAACATCTTTATGGCCCTGCTTTTGTTTACCTTCTCTCTGGATATTTCCAGCCTTGACTTACTGCATAGTCCAGGGTCTTTTCCCAAGGGCTTTGAAGATGTTAGCCTTATTTGTTGTGCTGCATAACTGTAAGTTCCTTTCAGTGCCAAATATGAAACCTTAAATAACAAAACAAATAAAAGAAGAAAATATTCCAGGAAGTGTGTGCAGTAGCTACATCAAATTGTATAAGCATACTGTTTTGTACTCATTTATTTCTGAAAACTATATACAGAAATAAACTTCCAAGTGCAAGTCCGTATCATTAGTTGCCAAGCAGTTGTCTTGTTTATGAGCAAATGCTGTTGATGCATTATAACAGGTATATGCCTGTGTGTGAGCAGATGCTTTTCTCATATCTGAGACTTATCACAAAGGAGGAAGATTTGGGTGGAAGTATGGAAATCTTACTAACAAGAACTATTATTTGTCTGGGGTGGGGCTTTTGTTCTTTTATTCCTATTATGTGCACTAACATCACTGCAATGTGAATTTAAGCTGAACTGGGATTGATTATGAATGATCTATGTAATGTACATGTGAACATAACAAAGAGTTCCAGCAGCAAACAGCTTTTCAGAATCATTTCATTATGGTTTTATTTAGATCCAGATTTTTCTTTTTCAGTGCACTCTTAGTTTTCTCGTGGCCGTATTTTTCTAATTGTCAGAGCAATAGATTTCCTGGGTAAGAAATGACTCGTAGCAACCTCTCTATTTGTAGAGTTGTTTTCATCCCCCAGGAAGTTCAAGGCTAGAACCATAGGCTCTTGCAGCCTATTGAAATGCTTTCCTCATCATGCTGTTGGCTGTTCTTGGATGTATTCATATTTATCTTTAAAGTTTTGCCCAAAAACCTCATCTGGGGTTTGAAAAAATTTCAGTTGAAATCAATGCATTAAAAACAAACTTACAGCCAAGCTTCTCTTTCTGACTGTTTCATTGGAAAACTTCCAGCTGGCGTTAGTTACAAGTTGCCTAGAAGATGGTTAAATATTTCCCTGCAAGACACTACATTAACTGGAAAGACTTAACTGAGCAAAGTTGGATACAATTGTTTTTATAGTGTGCACTATATGCAGTTGTGGTTTTTTTCCGCTCGTCAATGCAGGACAAAACATATGCTTTGCTAAATGTTTTAAGTAGAATAATTAATTAGCTTTTTTGATGTTTTAAAGAAAATTAATGTTTCTTCTGTGTCTTTTTAGATACGAAAGATGGGACTGGAAACAAGCAGCATAAAAAGCTTTTCAGCCCTTACAGAGCTGGTTCTAAGTGCCAAGGATCAGGCTACAGTGGAACAATCCTAGATATTTTTGAAAGCATGTGATTGAAGATAAACAATGTCCCTAAAAGAAAGAGTGAGAATTTAACTCTTTTTTATTTTACCAAATAAGTAGCAATGAAGTGCTTCCTAATGTATCTCGAGCAACGAATCAGTGTATCTTCTGTCAAGATAGGCTTGTTTCACGAAAAGACTGAGAATTTACCATAGTTTTCCATTATATGGAAAGCAATCAAAAATTCTACTGTAGAATAAAAGTGGAAGAAAATGGTTTTTTATTTTTGTTGTACATCTTAAAATGTAGAAGAATGAACTTACATGATGAAAATAATGTGTAATAAATTGTCTTCCTAACTTTTGATGTCCCTTACGTTTTTGAATCAAATGTATTCATTGATGGCTGTCAAAAGCTTTCAAGGAGACACTATTCCAGAAGAGCTGGAATAAAGAAAGTGCTCACAGGAATAGGAATCTGCTATTTCTTGTTACTGCTTTGCACTTACCTGCTTTCCCTCATCATGGGGTATGGTTAGCCCCTGGTTGGAGTTTGAATGTTTTCATTTTACTGATTTGGTTTTTTCATGGACCTTGTTGGTGAGAAGTTCTGCATAAAAAAAGCTCTTAAAGTACTTTAAATTTCAAAAATAATTTCTAGTATCAGTGTCTAACTTACTGGCTGTTACATTCGGGCTACCTGTTTTCCTTCAGACTAAACTCACTAAGCTAGAATTTATTCAAAGTTGGCATATTTCTGATTTGTATTATATTGTCTATTAGAATTCAGGGCAATATTTTGCCTGAATACATGTAGAATTCTTGTACCTTCAAACCGAGTTACTTCAGTACAAGGTGCATCTTTATGTAGCAGGAAATTTGAAAGTGTTATTAGGGTTTTAAATGATAGAAGGATTAACAAAGAGCTCTCTTGAATTTAGAGTGATTTGCCTATTGACACTTCTCTCTTATATGTGAGGGACAGGTAACAGTCTGGGGACATAGAGGGTGAATTTGAGCCATTCAAATGAGAGGACACGCTGTATGAGTGAAGGAAGGTTTTGTTTGTGGTTTTGTGGGGTTTTTTGTTTTGTTTTTTGGTGGGTTTTTTTTTTTCCCTGTGAAAATTTATCACTGGAATTCTAGTTCATGTTTATTAATTAAAAATACTCATTTCTTCCTAAAGCATTTAGAGAGCTTGGGTCTTAATGGGGGAGCTGAAGATGATGCAAATCTTCCAAGTACGTAGAGATACGGAGTTCGTAGCACATGGCTGTTATGTAGCATTGAAGTTGTAGTGAGCAAACTTTTCACAGCATTAAGGCTTTTATTGCTCACTGTTGGAGAATTTACCGTATTTTAGTTGAGAAGACACAACTATGTGATCACTGTGCTTTTGAAGCGATTAGGAGAGGTGATTATTATGACTTTTCTAAAATTAATTTTATGAAGGAGGGCAGTGGGGAAAGTACTGCTTAAAATTATGTTGGTTCTTCTTGGATTCAATCTGAGTAATGGAGTGCAGGATTTGGCTCTTCTAATTTGCTTAGCATCTCTCTGTTCATGGCAACATACACAATTGAGAGAGCATCCAAATCTATTGCTTGAAGAAAGAAACAGCAAAATGAACCAACCTGACGGATGTCAGATCTGTTTGTCTCATTCAGTGACGTGGAGATCCTCAGCCAGCCAAGGGCTTAAGTACACACAATCGAATGAACGTAACTCTTACTCCTTATGAACAAGAAGTTTGCTGTCTGTATTACGTTTTTCCAGGCTTCTGATTGATGAACCTAGAAAGCTTGGTCTCCCTGCACCTCTTCATTTGCTTTTATTAAGAGTCGGGAGTAGAGACATCTTGCTATCACTACCTACTGTTGTTTTCAACAATGTTTTCTTATTATAAAATGAATGTGTAAATTGTAGTCTGAGAATGAGATTGTAGTATTGTAAATGCATTGTGCAACTTCTTGTTTTGGAAGGCGTGTATCTCTCTAAATATAAATTTCTGTCACAAAAGTAGCAGATTCTGAGATCTGTGCATACTAGCGATTGAAGATAGAACAGCTTTGTTTGTATCCTCCAAAATCAGGGAGAAGGATGCAATCTGTGTACCAAACCAAAAAAGCATGAAAAGGTTACTTGCCCTTTTGTTGCACGTGATTTCCCACATCTTCCTGCAATAACATCACTTCCTACTTGTCATCATCAGCTTGGTGAGTATACAGGCTGAATTCTGTTCTTTTCCATTGAAGACCAGCTTTAGTTTCAGGGCAGGAAATAACATTGTGTAGCAAATCAAGATTATTGAATGGTCCTATGATTGCTGTAAATGTCTACATCACTGGTTTTATGTCAGTTCCCCGTCTTTTATTTTTGTTCACTTGAATAGCATTTAATTTTCTTTCAGTGGAATACGACGTTAGTAAAAAATTTCTGCGATACCCCTGTTGAAAGAAAGAAGAGGTGTGAATTGGCTTTGTCTTTGGTAAAATGAATTTTAGCATTTTCAGATACTGTGGATCAGTCAGGAGGAGAGGATCTACCATGTAAGTAAGTTTGTTCTGATAGAGATGTCTTCTGCTACTAATCCACTTGCTTCTATTCCTCAGATTATTTTTTCTTTTTAAGTGGACTTCACCTCATGATAGTAATGCAGATTTTGTGCCTTTTTCTTCTTCCCTTCTAGGACTTGTAGAAAATTTGCAATGCCTTTCTAGGTCTGGAAGAAATTTTGCTGGAAGAGGTTTTGTATAATAGCATTGAGGAGGGAAAGAATGGTGGCATGTTTTCCTCTAAAACGGTAATTGGATTCTCAAGTTTGTGGGTTATACCAGAAGTGGACCAGATTGTTTTAACCTCGTCACCTAAAGATAACAAGCAATATTTGTCTTTGGCTGGACCACTCAATATTGAGGAATATTTACTCTCCTTTTTTCATCAGCAGTTCTATTTTAATGCTTGAACTGAAGGGATGAGGAAGCAAACTGCCTAGATGATTTTTTTTTTAAGCTTATCAACATAATGATTTTTTTTTTTAAGCTTATCAACATCCCTATGCTCAGGGATAAACTCTGTTGTTTTGATGAAACTTAACAAGCTTGAGCTTGTCTTAGTTTTCTTTCTCCAAATCTCCCATCTGTTAGAGCATGATTTTAGGTGCTTCATTCACTAGACTGTTGAGCTGTAAACTGCAGCTGAAAGCTCAGTGTGTGGATGATGCTTAGGATGCTTGGAATGTGCGTCATTGTGTACCCGGCAGAGCAATTTGGTGGAACTGGAGGAGACCACTGGAGGAGAGTGAAGAGTATAAAATGGCGTAAAAATTTTAGATGTAAAATTCATGTCGGAAACAAGTCTCACAAGATTATGTATTGTTGGGGAAGTGGAGAAATTTCGTTGGGGGTTTTTTGGGTGGTGGTGTTTTTTTTGTTTGCTTGGGGTGTTGGAGGTTTTTTTGGTGTTTTTACTATTTGAATATCTAGGAGAATGGGTACATGTACAGATAGCTTATTTTTCTGGTACTGAGCACTTGCTCCAGCACCTCTCTCTTCCCAGTCCTTGCTCTGGCCAGTATACTTTTAGTTCCCTGTCTCGGCCCTTTCTTCCTTCCTTTTCTTCTCCAGGGTGTCAGTGCAGAGCTGTTCTCCAACACAAAGTTTCTCTTCTGAGAAGTGTTTGGTTTTGTGGGTGGTGGATTTTGTTTGTTTGTTTTTCTGCCTGTAACCACTGAAGACGGTATGGAGTCCTCCAGCAGCATGCAGCTCCCACTTGTGAATAATGGCATTTTGTCCCAGAACTTACTGGCAGCGTGGCCAGGGGCTCCCTTTTGTAATCCTGCATCTTCATCATAGAATTGGAACATTTTATGGTCTGAAATTTTGTTTGTGGCTGATGCTACCTTCTGACTTCAATGAGTAAATGGGATAACTTTTAAATTGGTATGAATGCTTGGAAGCTGCCTCTTTCATGCTTACAGCTATATCATTGGCTGTATTGCATGATAATTTGCAACTTACTGTCTTAAAAAACATAAATCTGACTTGGAGCAAATTTCAGAAGCCAGAACAAGGGATGTAGTTATGGAATAAACCCAACTGAACTGTGGCAAAGCAACCTGGAAGTGGTTTTATTTGCATCTCTGCATATTTATAGTTTATTGCTTCTGTATGTAATACAAGTACAGTATTTAGATGTTAGAGCATCTGGAATACATACAGTATAATTGGATAAATATGTGGGTGCTGTATCATAGCACTTGAAATCCTAGTATTCTCGAGAGTGAGTTGTGTTATTTATTAGTCTTTTCCATTAAGCTAGAAGGATATGTCTCATATCTACATCACTGATAGCAAGCCACTGGCATTAGTGGGTTTGGATTAGATAGACATTTGGGCTGCTGTGGATGCCAATGAGTTACCGTGGTCTGTAGGATACGTCTGGCATCATATAGCAAAGAGGTTTGCAGTTATTTTCTGAACGCCATCAGTGCTAAAGACAAATCTAGAGATGAGGGGTGGAAATCCTTGTTCCACTGAGAGGCTTTCCTTAGTACCAAAATTGCACTCCCAGTTCTTCATTTCCTAATTCCAGAGTCGTCTAATAATCTGTTGTTCCAGTTTAATGTTTCAAATCTTTATGACTCTGTGAAGAATTGGATTGGACCACTGAAACCTTTTTATTCATGTGTAGCAGCACATCCACCGTTTATACTCGTATAGATTATTGCCATCAATACTATTTTTTAAGAACATACGGTTTGGATATATTAAAGTTTACAGATCTGGGCTCTAACCAGTAATGTTCTTTTTCACTATAAGGCTGTAATAAATGCCTCTCAGGTTAGAAAGTAATCCAAGTAATGGAGTTGTATTGGAATAGTAGGCCTTATTTTTTTTTCTTAAAAAAAAAAAAAATGGAGATAATTCTGTCAAGCTATGAGAATTTATTCATCACAGTTCATTAATGCTACCAAACCCTATTTTTAGCTTTTTCACAGAGTTAAGAAATGAATATATCCATCTGGGTTGCAGAAAGAAGAAACTTCCCCTAAATGTGTTTTTGCTTCCAAGGCAAAAAATCTTGTCTCAGTGGGACAAGTGAAGCCTGCCCATGCTGTTGGCAGCATTTTAAAGGAAAATTTTGCTGATGAAGCTAGAAATCTCTGGATAACTGTAAAACTCTCGCTGTAACATAAAAGGGAGTCTCTCTTGCAAAACTGACCAAACTAAAAATTAAAAAGTGACCTCTTAAGGAATGAAGAAGTCCTTTTCTATACCTTTCTATAGTAAATGCTGCCTGTGCTTATAAAGCTATTGTTTTAGGTCAATGCCCTGTTGGCTACTACTTTGTCCCCACTG